CAAACACTAATGTCCACTAGCTATGACTTTTAATCATCAGTACCATTATCCAATATAAAGAAAATATTTGACATCACCGGTAAAATCATGTGCATTCACTAATTTTTCTTTCTTAAGTTTTCAAAATTGTTTGGGGACTATATTCAACACCTAGTAAGAACTCAATCAATTCTGTACTAAATTGAATTGAATGATGTCCATGGCTTGCTTCAGCCAAGAACATCTTTTCCCATTTCTCAGTTAATTATCCTTCCTGGTTCCCTGACTATTTCAGCTTCTTCCTGACCCTAAGTCCATGAGCATTGCTTTAATCACTCAGTCTTCTTGGTCAATCCCCTGTAGACAAGTTCATCTCAGCTTCATCCTGACTCTGAATCACCAGCTTTCTTTTCTAACTTTGTTTTCTTTCCTTCCAAAGCATCTAGGCCAACAACCCAGTAGTCTCCTACAATTGTCCAAATATCTTTCTCAGGGTAAAGGCTCAGGAAAATATTTTTTGAATAAATGAATAATTCACTATCTCATAATGACTTTTTTTTATACCCATTAGCAAAAATATGTTTATAATTTTTCTGACATTTTCCTATGTTAATGAGCACATATTTTAAACTCTTTATTGAAAAGGAAAGAAAATTATTAGATTTCAGGGCTTTCAAACATCACTTACATTTGTTCTTTCTTTTATTCTGGGTCAAAGACCACGCTTAGAAATAGGACTTAAAAGGCTGTCTGTGATAAACATTCTCTAACTTTGAAAATGCTAGCTCATTTTAAATGCTGTTGCTCATATCTTATCATATTTTAAAATTATGGGATATAATAGTGATAATTAGTATTGCTTAGACAAAGCACATAAATAAATGCCTCTTTTCATGACACTAAATAAATGCAGAGGACTCTGCCATTTATTTAGTGAACCAGAGCCACTTTGACCTTCCATAAAAGGCACTGGTATTAAGTGATTAACTATGGGAATCTCCCAATTTGCACTTGAATGCCGGAAGTACTGGTTCAGTGATGTATTAAGTCTTTCATTTTAAACTTTCCATCACAACTTCTGCTACTTCCACTTTCCTCACAACTGCCCAGTTGTTTGTTAAGATGCAAAGAGTTGATTCATGAAAGCGATGACAGCAGGTGTCTTTCAAAAATTTTAGCCACTTAAAAAGCATTCCTATTGATTTTTATCTTTAATATTAAATATTAATGAACAGTTCCAGTGATAATTAGCAATTTCCCTTAATTACAGAAAATTGGCACTTCACAAATAACAAACTCTGATATTATCTAGTATTGTGCCAGTTTTCCTTTCAATTTGGAAATTCAGCAATTATCACCAGAATTATGTAGGTTAAAGTGTGTCAGATTCCAGATAAACAACTTAAAATACCCAGCAATATGAGGTTCAATGTCAAGAAAAGCTTAATATCAGCATTTAAAGAAAAAAATGTTAGTGACCCTCCTTTGCTATTGCATTGTGGGAAGGTGTTCAAGTTTGTTTTATTTCAGCCTTGCCCTGCAGATGACATTGGGTGCAGAGTCTGGACAGAAAATATAAATTTTAATATCACTCTACTTAACACCTGATAATAGCACTTTTATACATGCGATTTTCCAATTTGAGAATTTGCATTTTTGTTGTTGTTTACTTCTAAAACCTCATCAACATTTAGGAAGACAGAATTTCTCCAGTACAAAAGCACCAACTGAAATATACACGTGCTTATCAATTCCTACTGAATGCAAACCAGCCTGTATATGGACTGTGTTCTTGAGGTTCACGTCGATGTTAAGAAGTCAGGAGTTGGCCATAACCGGTTTGGCTCAGTGGACAGAGCGTCAGCCTATGGGCTGAAGGGTCCCAGGTTCAATTCTGGTCAAGGGCATGTACCTTGGTTGTGGGCACATCCCCAGTGGGAGGTGTGCAGGAGGCAGCTGATCGATGCTTCTGGCTCTCTATCCCTCTCCCTTCCTCTCTGTAAAAATCAATAAAATATATATATATATAAAAAGAAGTCAGGAGCTGGAGAAATGCCTTTTATGACAGTTCACTTTGACATGGCCTGTTTAATGCTGACCAATCAGAAGCCCGTAATTAACTCTGGTTAATACCAGGAATCATAAAATCAACTATTATTTTGTCATCTTAATGTGTGTCAGAATTACTCTCAACACAGTAGCACATAGTTTTATCTGGACCAGATCCTCATAAGTTCAACAGCTGGAAGCAGATGCTTGACTAGGCCTCCCAGCTTTCAGGAGTCTTTCCTGACCTCAGCAGTTCTGAGACCAAAATTCAGGCTGCATTTGCATGTCACCGAAATAACTGGTTTTCTGAAATGTATAAAATTCAGTCAACTGAATCAATCCACAGGAAGCCGAGTCAGTTTGACATGTTGTTGTTGTTTTCATTAAAGTAATATGTGGTATATGTATGATTCAACCCTTCCTCAAAAAGGAAAAATTAGGTCAGGTAATAAGAGTGATCAGATTTCTATTACTATGATAAATAAAACTATAGTTTCCAATAATGCCGTTAAGAACAGATTAAAAATCGAACTATGACTCTATTGAAAAATATTGCAATTGATTTTCCACTTTCAAGGAGGAAAGACAACAGAGGACCTGGACTTAAAGGCCAACAAAAGAGCTTAAAGCCAAAAGCAAAATGAAGTCTTCCAATCTTTGAGGACTAGGAAACAATGGAATGTATTAGAAATGAGAGATAGTAGAACATGTTTTTTTCCTAGATATTATTTCCAATCCACTAGAATTTAGAAGTGAGGGAGATTACTGTCTATATCATTTCCCTTTGAACGAAAGAAAATCACAATGGTTCTCCATTTTCCCTCAGACCAAGTCCAAATCAAAGCCCTTAACACCACCTACCCATTCAAATGTGCCTCCCACAGCTCTCATCACCCCCTCCACTCCTACTTCCCCTCCACAGACTCCATTGCTATTACTATTCATTGCACCCTTAACAAGATGACCCTCTTCTCTTTTATCTACTAAATCAAATTCTGCCACATTTT